ATTCGAGGCTGCCATGTGAGAAGAGCTTCTCTCCAGGAAGTTGCTGGCAGCTTGATACAGACTCTAAATTTGGATATGGTTGTGCTGCATAGTCTCTGGGTCTCTGTAGGGAGACACCATAACCACGCCTCCTACAGGCTGGCTACAGGTGTGCTTAACCATGCCTGTCAGGGCGTGGTCAGGAGATGTTCAGGATGGCTCATGGGGGGTTCTTAAGGTGCTGGAGACACGTGGAAGCTCTCTCTCTCTCTCTCTCTGGCCTCCCTAGCTTGCTGCCTCTGGGTACACTCTGGCTCTGGCTTGCGCTTGGTAGGTATTATTTGAATAAAGATATCTTAACCTGCAAGCTCTCGTCACAGGTCTCTACTCTGCAAAACTAGGAGCAAGGCAGGGTTCCCATTTCATGAGCCAATGATGCAGACAAAATTATAGTTACCACATGTGACGCAGAATGAATGCCCAGTTAACATAAACTGTTGACATTATATGCATATCCTGTGTGTCTGTGTAAATTAAAACCACCATGGTCTCCAGAATAATTTCCTCATGTGATTATACCAGATATTGATCCACCGCCAATGGACACAAAGAAAGCAGTTAAGTGTAAGACACAGACACTGCACAGTGTCACCTTACAAACAACATAGTGACCCAGGACCATAACAAAAACAAGCTCCACCTCAGGGCCAGAGCCTGATAAGTCACTATGAAATAAAGAGAAGACCATCTTGGCATGTCACTTCATGCCCCATAGGTATCCCTTGTGACTCTGCTAAGCCAATGTAGTGTCTACCTCAAAGGGACTTTCACAAAGACAAACATGACTTGCCTTTCCTTTAAAACACCCTTTCCTTTAAAACACAAGCCTTGTTACCCATTCCTTCAGAGACAGTTGGCCAGAGAGTAAATCCATTTTCCTTTCTCAAAACTCAATGTATTTATTTATGTATTCACTAAGCTGGAGTCTCTTGTACAGAGATTGGCCTGGGACTCACTGTGTAGCCCAGGATAGACCTTTAACTCCTGACCTTCCTGCTTTCCTCTTCCAGATGACAGGATCACAGTGTCTACCACAGTGTCTACAGCTTCAAATTTTATTATTATAACAGCATCTAGACCTATTGTACTTTCTGCTTTTATCATTATTTTTAAGCATTTAAAATGAGTTCTGCCCTTTGGAAAGACTAAGCCCATCTCTTTTCCCACTCAAGCAAAAGTTAAAATGCAAAGGCAATACTCATGTGGACAGACCAGCCTGAAAACAGTCCCAGAACAACTACAAAGTTAAAATCAGGACTAGCCCAATGACAGTGAGGGGTGTGGGGTGAGAGGTAGGAGGTGGGGGTGTGGGGCAGGGAGGTGAAGGGTATGTGTGGGGGTTATGTGGAGTGGGAGTGGGGGTGAGGGGTGGGAGAGTGGGATGAGGAGTGTAAGAAAGGTGTGGGGTGGGAGGTGGGGGCAGAAGAGAAGATGTGTTCTTCAGAGGTGATTGACAGAACTTCTGGTGACCTTAAATTTTTGAAGTATTTCTATATTTTGGAGGGAAACACTGAGCCTGTATAAAGCCTTTAATAAAATGTTGATTCCAACCCTGGCTTTTCAGATTAATGGTTTTATTACATTTGTACTGGCTGCATGACTCTGGGAGCATGCTTCTGCAGAGAAGACAGTGTTCTAGCTGAGTTTCACCCATATAGTAAAGGAGGGGATAAGAACTTGAACTCTCCTTGCAGTCAGACGTGGCATTTGTTGGCATTTGTTTCTCTGGCTTACCTGTCAGAAGGCACAGGTACCTTAGGGATGGCATACAAACCCAGCCCATCCTCCCTCCCTCTACATTCAGATGTCTTAGACTCCACGTGACATGGCACTAGTAAGTGCTGGGTCCGTACCTGTTGGTTTTCTTGACCAGGATGGCCCTAAAGATGTGCTCGAGGAATATCTTCTCCTGCCTGTTCACGGGCTGCACAAAGGGGTGCAGGGCAGCCAATGAGAAGCCTTGCTGGTACAGCTCCAGGAGCTGGGCAGGCAGGTCCTGTAGAGAAGCTAACCTCACAGCCGAGGTCCGTGGAAGCTCAGCTAGAATGGGGAGAAGAGAGGGTGGTCAGAGGCTGTCACCACTGCCCTCCAAACCCTAAGTCCCACTCCATCTACCTGGTGAGGACCTTCTAGGTCACTTCTTCCCAGATAAGCTTTCCACAGACTTTATGAGCAGCCAGTCTCCCACCTCATCTAAGGACATCAACAAAAGAAAGCTCTCTAAGCTTCGAGCCTTCTCTCCAGTCTGTTTATTTATATGGGCAGAACAGACACAGTCCAAACGTCAAATGGTGCAAATGTAGATGCAGTGGAAAGTCTGCATCAAGCCCTCTGCCTCACTTTTTCCCTGGAGGCAATGGCTATGCTCTACTTTTAGGTACGTATTGTCAATTGCTAATTCATCCATAATAGGGCTGCCTATGCAAACACCAGAAAACCTTATACCTCCCTCATACACCTGCTCTGTCTGCTACAAGGTGATACATAAGAAAAGTACATTGGCAGACTGGGCAACATGCTCACAAATGGTTTGGTTTGGTTTGATGACATGAGGGCTCACTCTGTAGAGCAGGCTGGCCTCAAACGCTCAGTGATCCTCCTGCCTCAGCCTCCCAGGAGCACAGAGCACTTTCTGGTTTATTTCTTATAGATCTACTTATGGTTTACACTGTTGATTATAAAGCTTTTGTTTCCATATGGATTTAAAAATATTCATTCCTACATGATTTCACATGCACATGCACATTTAGAAAATACATTTCTAGCGCAGTGGTGGCGCATGCCTTTAGTCCCAGCACTTTGTAGGCAGAGGCAGGCGGGTCTCTGTGAGTTCGAGACCAGCCTGGACTACAAGAAAATACATTTCTACAGCTGGATTTCTCAATGCATGCTTGTTAACTCCCACACTGGGGCAGAGGAGTTGTGAACTAAGGACCAGACGGGATACATAGTGAGGCCATATCTCAATAAACAAGCAAAAGACATGAAAGTGCTGAGTTATAGACTATAATGTGTTCAGGTGCTGTCAGATTTCATTTATAAAGAAGTATGGATTTGCTTGTTTCCCATGTCCTGGATAATCTATACTTATTATAACATAACATAGCTTATCTTATTAAATACTTCATATTTAAATTGTGCATATCCTTTTCTATGAGCTGTGGGTACGGTGCCCAGTTTTTAATGGATTACTGATCCATTTTCCTACTGGTCCACAGGAACTATTAAGTATTATGTGACTTAGTTACTTAGTTACTGGTGACACAGGTTGGAAGTGTCTTTCATCAATTCATTACTTGACTTTCGACTTGGCAAAAGTGGGTATTCACAAGTAGGTTTATATTACTATAGCTGCAAGCAACTTTTCTGTTAATGCTTTACAATATATTACAGTTTTGCAAGCAAATCTTAAATATATTTCAGATTTATCTTGTGCAAAGAATACACTACAAATTCAAGACTCCTGAAGTTTACCTATTTTTCCCTCATTGATTTGAGAGGTGACTTCTGTCATTAATGAATGTATTTGTTTGTGACTTTAATAATTTAGCTTATTTTGTGTGCTATACAATTTTTCACATTAGTTTCATAAGTATTTTTGAGTCTGTTTCCTGATTTATTCTGCCTCTCTGTTTATTTTCTAAGCCTTCTTTACTTTCTTTTTCACAATCTTTTATTTAAATCAATTAATCAAATTCCCCCTTTGCCCCCTAAAAAATATTGATATTTTTATCGAATCATATTCAAACTATAGCTTAACTGAGAGTGGACATTTTTCACTATGCTGCAAGTTCTTATCCACAAACAGCACAGCACCACTTTTACTTGAGTTGTATCTTTGGTCCCTCTGGAGCATATTGAAGTTTCGTCACGTGGGCACTATGTATTTTTCAAGTTTATTCCTGGTCATTTTATATTTTTTTTCTATTAGAGTAATAGACTCTCTGGTTTCACTTTCATAATGTCCCTGCTGGGAAAGCACACAGAATTATCACAGCTGAGGGAGAGTGACTCTCACAAGAGAGCAAATTGCCTTTAATGACACTCCAGGGTCACCATCCCTTGTAGTACTCCTAGGACTGGACACAGTGTGAACAGATGAGTCACAACCGCACAGCAGGGCCGGAACAGTCACCAAGTCATCCCAGTAGCAAGCAGCACAGAGCCACCCTCAGTGAAAGGCAGCCTCTCACTGTAGTGTCATTCTACCTGGGTCCTGAAATGGCTACCTCATCAGATACTGTCCTTGACTTTCCAGATTCCTCCTCAGGGACACCCTGGACATCTTGGCTTCCTCACCCCTCTGCACGGCACCTCCAGGGCATGGCCCTTGAATAGCAAGGCCCACCAACAGCCTTTACAGCCCTGCGGCCCTACTACAGCAACAGGCCTCTCGGCTTATTTTCTCCTTTGCTAATCTGTCATGACACGCATGTCTTGAGCAGCCCACAAGAACCAGGGACTTCACTTCATACTCTACTACTTAACAAGACCCCAATTTCAGACTGGAGTAAATAGTTCAGAATATGAGCAGGCTGTTTGAAAGATGAGATGATGACCGGATACTGACGAAGTACAGACAACAATGATGTATAAAACAAACACTCGCACCTTGGAAAATACATATCAAGACAAGCACAAATAAAGTGTGGATGTCTTGTAGCTATTTTAAAATCCCAGGCTCGGAGTGGAACCCACAGAAGCCCAGGCAAAGCTATTGGATATCATGATGGAACTATATATGACAGTGCCCATGTCATGCTTTCTCCAGTCTTATAAAGCATCACTGTTTTTTTTTAATAAAATGAGAAATAATGCAGAAAATTAACAATTAAAAGGAGGATTTATGGGAAAAGCAATTTCCAATAACGTTATTCTAAAAGCAAGAATCTGGAACTAAGGAATTCTTCATTGAGGATTGGCCAATGTTGGACGCCCAAGTGATGAGGCCCATGAAGAGTAAAAGGTGAAGGCAAGTCTGTTAAGACGCTGATGGAACATGTCCACAGTGCACGGCTATATTAAACAAAACAAAGCTGCCTGTTAGTGTGTGGTGACTCTTCTATTAAATACAGATGGATGGACAGAGATGCAGAATATTTCTCTAGACGGTAACAGTGGAGACAGATTATAACAGAGCAGAGTAGAGAGGCTGGGGTATTTGTTAAACTTTCAGAACTGCTGTGATCAGCACAGACAATTTCAGGGGAAGATTTATAAGGCAATTGCACTGTACTCTTTACACATAAATGAAACACAACTTTAAAATTTTTAATGGCTTTTTAATGCTTCATGCTATCCAGGATTAGAACCCAGGGCCCTGTGAATGCTAGGCAGGTACTTTTTAGCTGAGTGAACTTTTTAGTACACATGCATGCCAGCAAACACCAGTACACATACAACAAAATAAAAATAAAATAGTAACTTAAAATATGAAAAACATCAAGTAGCCAAGATAAACACTGAGTGTAGTTTGTGAGAAATGTGATGTACTTTTTGTGAAGACAGGATCAGCATCACTGTCGTTAGCCCCAGAAAGTGCAAACGATGCCCATATCACCGTGAGCAACCGTGTCCATGTACTATTGCCCTCATGAATAACCATGTCCATTTACTATTGCCCTCATGAGCAACCGTGTCCGTGTACTATTGCCCTCGTGAACAACCATGTCCGTGTACTATTGCCCTCGTAAGCAACCGTGTCTGTGTACAAGTGCCTTCATGAGCAACTGTGTCCGTATACTATTGGCCTCGTGAACAACCGTGTCCGTGTACTATTGCCCTCGTGAGCAACCGTGTCCGTGTACTAGTGCCCTCCTGAGCAACCATGTCCGTGTACTATTGCCCTCGTGAGCAACCGTGTCCGTGTACTAGTGCCCTCGTGAGCAACCGTGTCTGTTTACTAGTGGCCTCCTGAGCAACCATGTCCGTGTACTATTGCCCTCGTGAGCAACCGTGTCCGTGTACTATTGCCCTCGTGAGCAACCGTGTCCGTGTACTAGTGCCCTCGTGAGCAACCGTGTCTGTTTACTAGTGGCCTCGTAAGCAACCGTGTCCGTGTACTATTGCCCTCGTGAGCAACTCTGTCCGTTTACTATTGCCCTCGTGAGCAACCGTGTCCATGTACTATTGCCCTCGCTTGTTCCAGCCAGGGCCACAGTCTCTGTGTGTAGTCTCACAGAAGCCAGGTGGACCTTATGGAGCACAGGTGCAAGTTTCCTCAGCAGTCAAGAGATGACACAGCTGTAGAACCTGAGGCCTAAGCCACAGAATTCAAGGGTTCACTATCACGTGGAATGTGGATAATGGTGACAGCCTTTCTGGAAGGCTGTTCACCACACTGACTAAACCTGAAAATCTTATGCTCAGCGCTCTTTGAAGAAACTGTTCAAAATGGGCTTAAGTGAAGTCAAATTTCAGGCCCACCTGTTTCGAGACCTTTTGTAAATATATTAAGGAGTTCCCACACTTATACAAGGAAGAAATCTTTGCTAGGACTTTTGCGTTTATATTTTTGTTTGTATGTGAGTACATGTCCAGGGGGTGCATGTGTGCATGTGTGTCTATAGAGGTCAGGGGTCTACTACAGGTGTTTCTCAGGTGTTACTGAGGTAACACTACAGGTGTTACTACAATAGTTTCTCATCTTCTTGGCTGTATTTGGTTTATTTGGAGACAAGATCTCTCATTGGTCTGGGGCTTGCCTAAGACCCTAGGCTGGCTGAGAAGTGAGCACCAGAATCTGTTTCCACCCTTACCAGTGCTAGAATTATAATCGCACTCTATCATGCTGGACTTGTTTGAGGTTATGGGGACTGAACTTAGGTCCTCATGTGTGGCAAGAACTTTATCATCTCAGCTTCCCACCGCCCCTCTACCTCATTACTAATGTATTTATTATATCACATTATAAAAAATAGATGCAGCTGATGTGTTTAGAAGAGAGGATTATGCCAGGCGTTGGTGGCACACACCTTTAATCCCAGCACTTGGGAGGCAGAGGCAGAGGCAGGTGGATCTCTGTGAGTTCGAGGCCAGCC